GCTGGGACCAGCTGAGCTTCTCTGCCCTAGGAGCCTGGGATGGAGGCGGGGAGCTTCCTTCCGGGTGCTGGGACCGGCAGGAATGTCTAATGAATTGTAAAATCACATTTAGGACTCAGGGTTCAAAGGGAACAGAAGTCTTTCCATGTCAATAGCCAGGAGTTGGATTTACTTTCAGAAATTGATATTCTGTCACAATTGACGATTGAAGTTTGTTTTTTTTTTTTGTACCGAAGATCGAACTCAGGTCCTTGCGCCTGTGCCACAGGTGGCAAAACCACTGAGCTAAATCCCCAGCCCGACGATTGAACTTTTATTTATTTATTTTTTTTGGTACCGGGATCGAATTCAGGTTCTCGTGCTTGCGCAGCAGGCAACGGAACCACTGAGCTAAATCCCGGGCCCAGGTTTGGTTTTGTTTTGTTTTTTGTTTTGTTTTTTTTTGAACTTTTGAAAAGAAGAATATTGGCAAGCATCCTTGTGGAGAATGAGAAACTTTTATTCTGGTCATGAGGCTTTGCCCCTAACTAGTTATGTAGCTCTGGCCAAATCATTTAACAAGTCTGAGTTCATCTATTTACTCCTCTCTGAACAAGGTGGTTAGATTAAATGTCTTTTAAAATTCTTTGATGGCTGTAAATATCACTAAAGCAGTCATTACCTTTATCTGAGAGAATAACCCTTTAGTGTGTTTGTCTCTCAAACTACATTTTTGTCATAAGCAAAAGAAAAGTTGTTTATTCTGTGGCTATGATAATTTAGCAGACATTTAGGAAATGCCTGACCAATGCCTAAGTGATTTGCTAGGCAGAGTGTGTGTGTGCATGTGTGGATGAATGCCATGTTTCAAGCAGAAAGAATTTACATTGCTTTCTCCATCTATTTTTTGTATCTTTTTGGACCTTCTTTCAATTTATAGAAGAAATTACCTGATTCCTTTCAAATATTGGTATTATTGTGTATGTCCTTTTTTAAAATGCCTTTTCTTTGGGCTGGGAATGAGCTCAATGGTAGACCATTTGCCTAGCATGCATGAAGCCCTGGGTTCAATCCCTAGCACCACAAAAAAGTAAAATGCTTTTTCTTTTATTTATGTTTAATTTTTATTTATACAAGTTAATTTTCCTCAGCCTACAAGTATGTTGAAATCACCTAATCATTAAAAAATTTTTTCTCAAACCTTTAACCTAACAGTATCATTTCAAAGTAGGTATTCATTCATACATATTTTTTAATTTTGCAAAGAAAAAGTCAGTCTAGAGTCTTTGTGGAGAAGGATTAGAGGTATATGAAAGGGGAGGCAGGAGCACTGCCACAGTATAGCCCGAGACTGGTGATGAGGTGAAATGTTAGTGTGTTAGAGAGACTTACTGTGTGTTAGGACTGAGGGATGGGTGAAGCAGGGGTCTAAGTGGGACAGAGGAGCTGGATGGAGTGGCACATACTTGTAATCCCAGCCATCCCAGAGCTGAGACAAGAGAATTACAAGTTTGAGGCAACCTAGTTGAGACCTTGTCTCAAAAAGAATCTTCAAGTGGCTGGATAAGTAGCTAAGTGATAACACTTGCCTAGCATGCGTGAGGGCCTGGATTCAATCCCTAGGACCATGTTTTTTAAAAAAGAAAAGGAAAGAAAAGAGAGAAAGCCGTGGGAGAGGTGGGATGGGTTTAGGAGGAGAAGGTGTTGTGTTGTGTGTACATGCAAGTGCTGTTGCCTACTCCTTTTTCCTTGATCCCGTCTTCCCTTGGCTTCCATGATAACCACTTTATCCTGGGTCTCTTCTTTCCGATTCCATATGCAGCCCTCCTCTAACTCCGCACTTCCCAGGCAAACACGCTTCTCTGGTGGTGATTCATAGAGTCGGATAGTGACGTACGTAGTTCTGTACCTCTTGCCCTAAAATTTCAGCTACATATTACATGTTATAGATAACCTCACACTTCCTGTGAGCAGAAAACAGGACTTACGGTTAATGGAACCACTGTCCTTGCAGTCAGCCAGACCTAAGTCTGATCTCTCACCCGTTCCTCCTCTGCCTTCTCCATTCAGTCATGTGGATCCCACTGTCCTGTCTGTCACATTTCCACTTTTGAAACTGCTGCTCCTGCCCTAGTTGAAGTTATCTCTTACCTCACCTCTTTCCATACGTTCTAACTTTTCTCAAAACTAACAGTCTCTTAGTTTTCTAATTCATGAACACACTACCACCACATTTAACTTCCTCATCCAGCTTCCTTAGCGAAACGGAGATCTTGAGTATTGTCATCCCAGGCTACATTTTCCCCACACACAGTTTTTTAGTGATATTTATTTCTTTTCTCAAAAATAAACCGGGCGCTTTCTGGCTCCTGCCTTAGCTGCTGTGGCTCTGTCAGTCTGTGGGTCATTCTTCCCAGCCCAGCGTCCCAGCCTCAGCTGTGGAAATCCTGTTCTGCTTTTCCTGGCCACTCCAGATGCTGCCCCCTCTGTCGTGCACTTATTCTCTCCCATCTCCCACACAGCATGATGAACTCAGGGTGCAAAAGCCCTGCCTTGTTGGTCTGATCTGCCTCTCCATCACCACACCTAGCAAAGTGACACAAAGTAGTGGTCGGGAGATCTTTAATTACTGCATGATAAAATCTCCTTCCTTCCCTTTTCACTTAAATAATGAAATTCCTCTTGGAAATAGATTATTTAGAATGACCAGTCATTGGTATATAATTAACAAATAATGCAGTGGCCATTTGGATAAAGCTTATTAGAAAGAAATATCCTCAGAGACAATTGTTTGTATTTTACTCTACAACATATTATGTCAGAATTTCTGGTAAATAACACTCCACCATTTTTTAAATTTAGGATGGCTTTGTCATTTTAGGTTGAAAATTTCTTCTGTATGGGATCCCCACTTGCAGTCTTTTTGGCATTGCGTGGCATCCGCCCAGGAAACACTGGAAGTCAAGACCATATTTTACCTAGAGAGATTTGCAACCGCTTACTGAATATTTTTCACCCTACAGATCCAGTGGTGAGTTGCAATGCAGACTTTTTCCCCTCAGAATTAGATTGTTCCTAAAAAAAAAATCTGACAGAAACCTTGCCAGGTACCATTGAATTAACAACAACAACAAAAATGTATCTGATTTGCTTGCAAAATGTTATATCCTTAAAACATTTGTGTTTTAGTTCATCCAAGGTTCATGGAATAAAAGACCTTAGAGATGATCTCTTGTTCTTATAATGTGAGACCTCAATTTAAAAATATTATCCTGAACAATTAATACAATAGACAGGAGTCCTCTGTATTTCAGATCTTATTCAGTTGTGATACCAAAGACCAAGTAACCATAAATCTTAAAAATCCTGCTTTACTTTTTTTTGTAAAGCATACTATAATGTTGAAATGTGTTTGACCATCTTGAAAATATGCAGGTATTATATATTGCACATTAAAAGGTAGTACTGTGTAGTCTTCTTGAAAGGTAAAATAATTGGATTTTTTTTCCATTCTCTATTAAATTTGTGTTGTAAATAATGTTTTTTGATGTAAATTCTCCAAAGATCTTGCATGTAGGTAAATGGTATAGTACCAAGTAAGCTTATTTAGAGAAGAAAAATGCAACCTGGGGTGTAGCTCAGTGTTAGGGTGCATGCTCAGCATGTGGGAGGCCCCAGGTTTAATCCTCAGCACAGCCCCCCCAAGTTTCCTTTAATCCTTTTGAGCGCAAAGTGAACTATAAATAGTAAAACTATTTTAAATACTATTTATTCTCAGAAAATTAGCTTAATTGCATAGTTTTCTAAAAGATCTTTAATACCAAATAATCTTAACATGAGCACTCAAGTTTTAGAAACTCTCCCATATGGTAAAGACTCACAGCTGTCATATTTAAGAAATAAACTTCAACTACAACAGAAAAACTAGAAGTGAACTTCAACTAGAATTACAACTGGAATCTTAGACTCAAATATACACTATACAGGGGCCAGGGATTTAGCTCAGTGGTTCCGCCGCCTGCCTTGCAAGCGGAAGGATCCAAGTTTGATCCCTGGTACCAAAAAAAAAAAAAAAATATATATATATATATATATATATATATATCACACACCATACAGTCTTGGCCAGTCACTTCTGAGGTGTATCTTATCTACATGATGCAAATAATATTGTATCTTATAGGGTTATTGGGAGTAAGTAAAATGTATGTGAAAATCTTTGCTAGACAGTAAGCATTTCATTAATACATACTCATTTTACCCATTCACAACTTGAGAATGAACTCATCTTTGGTTTGGTTTGTATGTTTGATTGTTGGGGGCTGGGGATGGAACCCAGGGCCGCACACATGCTAAGCGTGTGTTCTACTGAGCTACACCCCAGCTCCTCTGAGTTCCACTAATATTTTTTAATACTTTGTCCGAACTGTGGTTTTTACAAACCACAAACATTGCCTGTTCTTTCTTACATCCTGTAAAGGAGAAAGGTGCCTCCTCTTACAGCAGAGTATGAACTTTTCTGCTCCATCATACCTACGTCACATGAGACAGATGGTCTTTTGTTGGCTGTTACTGTGTTAATCTGTTTGAAATTTGAGTTTAGGCCAGGTGTAGTGGCACATGCCTATAATCCCAGCGTTCAGGATGCTGAGGTAGAAGGATAGTTGTGAGTTTGAGGTCAGCCTGGACTACATAATAAGACATTGTCTTAAAAATCAAAAAGGAAGGAAGGGAGGGAGGTTGAGTTTAATAAGACACTCTAAAATATTAAAAATTGACCTTATTTTCTGTGTTCTAGGTTACACTTTACTGCAGCTTTGGTAGGTTGACATAAACCTGTAAATGAGATCATAATATAACAAAAATCAATCTGTTTCTCTGAAAAATAAATTAATAGACACAATTGGCCTGGACTAACTCCTTTTTTTAAATAATCTCATTAAGGATATATAATTAGACCAACCACATATTATTAACAATAAATGAGTACAAATACATGTTTCAACTACATATCTATTTTTTTAAATTCTCTAAAGTCTACTTAGTATGCATTAGAAGAAGAATAACCACTCCACTGAAATCTAAGCATTGTGGATTGATGTTGTATTTCTTTGAATTTTTTTTACATCAAGGCTTACAGATTAGAACCATTGATATTGAAACACTACAGCAACATTTCACCTGTCCAGATCCACTGGTACAATACTTCAAACCCTCTACCTTATGAACATATGAAGCCAAGCTTTCTCAACCCAGCCAAAGAACCTACCTCAGTTTCAGAGAATGAAGGCATCTCAGCGATACCCAGCCCTGTGACCTCACCAGTCCTATCCCGCCGTCACTACGGAGAATCTATTACTAATATAGGCAAAGCCAGCATATTAGGTAATTTCTCCTCAGTGTTCCTTATCTATGAACATAAACCTTTTTTGTCTGGATATGAAATGTGAGGGACTTGAAATTACTCTGTACAGTTAACGCCCTAGAATGAAGTACCATGTGACTATGTATTTGAGGAGCAAAAGCCCTGAGTTCTTGGGTTAGAGCAGATCCTGTGGTTTTAGGATGTTAAATAGCTGGGTGGGCCAGAAGAAAGCACTGTTGTGAGGGTCAAGTTCCACATTTTAATTTTCACCCTAGCACTTTCTGGGAGATCTTGAGCAAATCCTGTAGTGTTCAGTGCCCCACCCCCTCTGTGGAACAAGTGTCCTTGTGTGCTGAGTGTCCATAGCAGCCAGTTCTCTGATCTGTTCTATATCTTGCAAACTGTGTACTTCCTGAGGGCAACAAAGATACTTAGTTTCTCTTTGAATGATCTCCAGTATCAGCAGTGTTTGGTGTCTCACTGGAGCTCAGTTCTGTGCCGCTTGAATTTGTTCTTGCTTGTTACAAATTGCCTTAATATAAAGTACCACAAGATGGCACTAGAACTAGGCTTTAGCTGCTAGACTGCTGTTTCTTCATCCACACTTTATTAGTGGCTTTTTATGACACATCCACTTTAGTTCAGAAGTAAGCGTATCTGTCAATAGTATATCTACGTCCACGTCAGTGGTGCAGTTCTTTTATTAAAGGTTTTCATTTTGCCAAATATTTTTATGACAATGATGACTTCAATAGAACATTTTCTTTTGCATGTATATTCCTATAAGCTATAGGCCTAGATTTTATACAACTCTCCTTTTCCACACCATTTTAATTTAGAAGCCTGCAGTATAAATTGTAACTTTCTTATGTCCCTACCCTGGAAAACATGACTAGGGCTTACTCCCTCCGCCAGTTGGCTGTAATTATGGGTGGTGCTCTTAGCCTGGTATGTGGTGTGACTCAACAGAATGACTCCCCTGTTTTGTGGCACTCAGGGGCTGCGACCATTGGAAAGGGGCTCGGAGGAATGCTGTTCTCCAGATTTGGACGTTCATCTGCGTCGCAGCCATCTGAGACATGCAAAGATTCAGTGGAAGATGAGAAGAAGCCAGCTGCTCCACCTTCCACCTCCACAGTGGCCACACAAACTCTTCCACACAGCAGCTCGGGCTTTCTTGACTCTGCATGTTAGTTCATACGGTTCTTTCCTAGAGTCTATGCTGTCGGCTTTTGGAAACTTCAGGAGGGTAGGAAAGTTTAAGGCATTAACACTACCAGTCAGCTCTCAGATCTGAAACAAACCTTAGCTTTTAAAGAAAAATTACTTTCCTTCTACTTACATTTTTAAGAATACTTTCTAGATAAATGCAATTTCAGTTTCTGCACTGGTGATTGATAATAGATTATTAATAATCAAGACCTTCTGGCATAAGGGTCTAAAATATCAAGCAAAAACAAATCTCTTTGGGGTAAGTACCTATGGGGCTTTTTCTTTGCAGTTCAAGGGATTAAAACCATGGCCTTTGCACTGAGCTATATTCCCAGCCCTTTTTCATTTTTTATTTTGGGACAGGGTCTCACTAAATCTCTTTAGTTGTCTGGGCTGGTCTCAAACTTGTGATTTTCCTGCCTCAGCCTCTTGAAGTGCTGGGATTACAGGCATGTGCACTGCACCCAGTTACCCCAGTTTATATGAATTATATTTTTATTAGTAAATATTAATATGATCTCAGTCTTAACAGTTCATGTAATTGCCTCAACTCTGCTGTCTGGTCTTGAGACTTTCTATACCAAAGCCATCCTGCTGCTAATTCCACCGCCTCTCAGCCAGCCTAATTACAAGACCCTCAATGTTTAGAAGTGTTGCTAGATCCCTGTATGGCTCCCAGTCCTATCCCAGCCTCCTAGTGTAAAGGAAGGATTCCAGAAATGAGTGATAGAGCTGTGTTGGACTTTGCATTAGAACAGAACTTTAATTGTTTCTCGTGGATTTACAAAGTTTAAAATCTTGAATAGCTATGAGATACTAATGCACTTTGGATATATGTACCTCTAAGAGTCTCCGCTTGGAGCTTGGACTTTAAATACTGAGTAAAATAAAACTAGTACCAGTCCTACTTTTCCATTGACACGTGAGAGGAAGTATTATCTTTGTGTAACAAGAAGGAAACTTTGCTTTCTTTCACTAAAAATTTTTAAACATTTCAGTTCCTTGTAGCATTATGCTCTTACAGGGTCTGCCACTCTAAACTGTGAGTGGTCAGTATCCATTGCCATTCATAAATCTCAGATGAACAACAAAATGAAACCAAAAAACCACTTAAGAGCTACGATCAGATGTAATAGCTCCAGAAGCTGGCTATATCCTCCACAGTCAACCCTCCAGGATGAATTGTCAATAAAGTTAGACGTCCCTAATTGGACCAACAGCATTTTTTAAAAATCTTAAATTGAGCAATAAAAATTCTATGGTGATCTTTTGAACACTGTCTAGAAAATTCCTCTTAGACTTTGTATAAAACTCATATTTTAGTTTTTCTGGAAGAGTTTCTGTACTATTGCAGACTTAAGTTCCCATTTTTACTTAACATTAAAAATGTAATGGTGGGGCCAGGGGTTTAGCTCAGTGGTTTTGCTGCCTGCTGCACAAGTGCAAGCACCCGAGTTCAATCACCGGTACCAAAAATAAATAAATAAATAAAAATGTAATGGTGGGGTCTGGGGATTTAGCTCAGTGATTCCACCGCCTGCCTCGCCAAGTGCAAGGTCCTGAGTTCGATCCCTGGTACCAGAAAAAAAAAATGTAATTGTAAAAATATAAAATTGTGTTGTGACATGCAGATGTCAAAAGGAAGTTCTAACTTATGAGGAAAAAACTTCAAAGAATTTTGTGAGATAGCAGTGAAAAAGTCACAGTTCTTTGTAATTTTGGTAATGTGAGACACTGATGCTAATAAACTCAAGGGTGAAAGTGGGCCAGGCACCATGGTGCACACCTGTAATCCCAGCATTCTGGGAGGCTGAGGAAGGATTGAAAGTTGCAGGTTCCAGCCCAGCCTGGGCAGATTAGCAAGACCCTGCCTCAAGCTCAGGGCTGGGGTGTAGCAAGTACTCCCTGGGTTCAGGCCTTGGTACTGGGGGGAGCAGGGGAGGGAGAATGAAGTGGAACTCCAGAAAAAGAGTAATTAAAGCATTGAATCTGAGAGAAGAAAACAGTTTTAGTTTCAGTTTTTGTTTTTTACTACTTAAAATGATAATAGTGGGACCTCTTTCTTCAGGAACAGTAGAGGTGCTTAGCTTAAAACACATATTCTGTTATTCTTGCTTATCAATTCTTTTCTGCTTCTATAGTGAATTTCTTATCAACTAAATCTGAGCTAGTCGTGAGTCTTAGTTCCATATATTCATCTCTAGTTATGGATGTAACTATTAAAATGGGACAACCGCCACAGTAGGATTCTGCTTTTTAAATCAGTGCCCAAAATTTGGCCTTACTAATTCTTTGACTTGCTTCAATTATCTGCTGTTCTTTGTAGTCCTGACTTCAGCATGTTGCTTGCATCATAATTGCTATCTTGGCTTTATCTTGCAAATCTGAAAACTTTTCTTCCTGAAATCTCCTTGGAACTTGGTTGTAGTAATGAAATGACAGGGTCCTGGGGCCCTTTTCTTCTTCTTCTTCTTCTTCTTCTTCTTCTTCTTCTTCTTCTTCTTC